TTCCTACCATGGACTCATCTTGTAATCCGCCATGGCTACTGGCGAGCTGGGAAAATGAGCGAACGGTGGAGGGTGCCTATCGATACAACTGTAAAAGTCTGGTTTCTCTCGTTACAGAAAAAAAGTTGACCGCAACAGCGAATCCAACACCCAGTGTCCAACACATTTCGTGTCATCCAGAAGCGCTAATCTAAAAACGTAGACCGCGCAGGTAGACCACGAAACCCTGGCGCTTAAGAAATCCTCGATGTTGACCCACGCCTTTCTCACTAATCTCACATGCGATCAAGCAGGCGATAAATTAATACCACAAACACGGATATACCCACTATGTGTATACTTTAATGTCGCGCACAATAGACCGTTGATTTATGGAGACGGCCAAAAAAGTGTTGATCTCTTGCGTATGGTAAGCCGATTTGGAAGATTCCTTTTGAGAGGCATTTCTTTTAAAAGCCTTCTTGCAAAGCAATAGTCGTTCTTTTCGTTTGTCATATCACTTTTTACTTAACAAATGTCACAACTCAAAAATGTTATTTTCCAATTGTCGAATTAATATGAATGAATTAAGTAAACCAATTATCAACAGAGAGTGAATTTACTTAACTTTATAAAAAATCATTACAACTCTGAAAGAATAGTTTTTCAAGGATTGTGAAATAAGGATGACAAAAATAACATTTCATCATCCTTTAGGAATATATTCTTCTTCTTCCGATATTCTTTGTCAATGATTTTCTGTCAAGATAAAAAAAGTTTTTCTCTTTCCTGGGACTTAATTTTTTTAGTCATGTCAGTTTTAAAATAAGGAAGCGATGTATTGAAGTTTATTTACAGGAAGATTATGGATATCAGATCCTACGATTCTCTTGAGAAATTAACAATAGTATTGGACATGGCAGGTTACGTGGGTTACCTACTTGAATAAATTAAAATCGACATCGAAAAGGAAAAAATCCACGCCGACGTCGACGCCGACTTTATTTAGCAATCGGTAAACGATAAGCAGTAACCCGTATCTCTATAAAGTAATCATTCCCCCTACTGTAGTATCCTGGAGCAATCATTATATCTTGCTGTTACGCGCGGTTGTTGTTCTCATCGACTCAATCAGAAAGCTAATTAAACGTACCATCGCACCGTGCAATTAAGGAAAATGAGCGATCCTCGGAGACACAAATAGTTAAAATGGACAACGACAAATGAAGATTATCGTTTGACGATCGTAACGGATTCATAATAGCTTCATAACTAAGCATTTTTTAATGGCATAGTACTTTAATGGTTCGCCTGCATCTTATTACAAAAGTATTATACTTATCCTGCATGTAAAACTAATATTTTTGATTAACGTCTAAATGTTCTTTCCATTTTAATACAATATATTAATTGCGCATTCTGTTTTGATTTTTAAACTTACAATTATTTTTATATAATATAATCATACGTGACTCACTAACGTATAGATAGTAAGTGTAACTCATAAATATGGATGCATCTACATATAAGAATATTCGTATAAGAATATTCGTGAGTCATATGCCTCGTAGATGGTAAACGTTTCAAAGATAATTAGAATTTCCAGATGGCACTCATTTCTACTTTGCTTGCACTCATTAGAACTGCTTGAAAAAGATTGTGATATATATTCAAAATTTCGATTGTATCGAGTCTAAAACAGGACGATGAATGTTTATGCGTACCATCGTTCAATCGATTACCGGTCATTTCATTAGTGTCTTCCGAGTGCTCGACTGAACGATTACTTCAAGGAATAACTGTAACGGACTTTTGCTAACCCTTGACTGGGGGGCCGTCCCCAACGAACTTCCATTCGCTCTCGACGATGCCCACGGTAGTCATTTTACGGACCAGTGACTCCTCGAATTATTCAACCGACGAGGATCTCGATGACACAACCACCTTATATAAATAATCAATTAGTTATTTGACGTAGTAAGTAAGCAACTTCAGTTTTCAGTTAGTCACAAACACATATAATACGTTCTTACGTAACGTTCTATATATAAAAGCTGCGAAGGGAATAAGTTAATAGGATCTCCATTTTTGTCTGTCTTACTTCCTATCTCATATGTTCCATTAATTTAGCATTTTGCCGAGTGTTCTTAACCGCAGGAAGTCGACGCGCGCGGATGACATGTGCTCGAGTTAATTAAAAGCCTCATTCGAACTTGGCACGCGCCTTGAGGGGCGTCTTCAGGCACCCTGAGAGCAGAGAAATAAGTTCACAAACCGTGAAAATTTAATGTTCTTTATGGGGGGGGGGGAGGGGAGGGAGGAGGGAGGAGCGCAGCGTATTGTTGGCCGCAATATCATGCAGCGTACCCTTCAATCCTTTTACGCAAAGTACACACGTAGAATAGATGGAGAGTTATAAAAAATATATTGTATAGAACGAAACTTGATGGCTTGACGATGTACGACTTTTTGATACACCAACCGACGGATGTTAGCGGTCTGGTATACGAGTCGATCTTTCGCTCTAATGGTTCCACCTGGGTTTCGATGCACATATCCGTGGGTGGTCCGTCATGCGCTTGATAAGCCTCACACCAGGTGTAGAAAAAAGAAAGGAAATGAGGAAGTTACTTCCTCAGTGCTTGGTGACAATATATCGATCATAAAATGTCTTCCATGAACTAATCTTAATATTCTGTTAGAATACAAAATCAAGATAACATTAAGTAAAAGTTATTTTAGGAAAAATCATAATGCTCATGTGTTAAGAATTCATCACAAGATTATCATCAAAAGTGTATTGGATAATATCATTATGATTTTTCCTAAAGTAATTTCTACTTGATGCCATTTCTACTTGATCTTATTATGGTTCTACCTGGATTACAACTCTAATTTTTTCCGTACTAAAACGGTACTAATTATTTTTATCAAGAACAAAGAAGTTATAGAGATCTTGTCTAACGCGAAAAGAAATCTTGTATGTCCAACACATAAAAAGAATTTTTAAAAGGATTAACGAAAGAAGAAATTGATTGGCGGATGCTCGCGCAGGAGTGGGCTGAAATAACAGGAACAATCCTCTGCGCTCGCAGTAAATTTGATTGTTCGGAGGCAGGGCAGCCCACGCTGTCCGGCCCGCCAGAGGGAAACGTTGCATTCTTATCGTTCGAGAAACTGGTATGGCATAACGTAGTGCATACGGTGACGGCATCGTGTGTACGTATTGGCTAGCTGTCTATTCTAACAATACAATAACGATGGAAGGCGTCGCTTAAGGGCAAGTCCGCCTAGCGTAGTTGTAGGTACGTATCGATACTGGTAAAATATTGCATTTACACGTTCCTCACGCGAAATACTCTCGTAGAATATTGCTTCCGGGTCTCCCCGATGATATACCAATGGCGCTTCAGCCTTACGTTCCAATAGACTATACAAAAGGATAAACATGACATATTTGTAATTAATTTTGTAATCCGTGTCTTCTATGTTATATAATTTTCTATGCCACAACGAGACGCCGACATGTTTGCAGATGCGAAGGAAAAGGGGTTAACATTTAGCGCGTGTTAAAAAAAATCGATAATCGATAAAAAAAAAACCGTTTTCCTTTCCCATGGTGATATTTAATTTTTATCTTCACCATGTTATCCATGGAACACGGCAAGAGTTAACGACGCACTTAGATCTCTTAGAAAGGGATCCATCCACGCCTTGGAATTGAAAGAAAGATGGTAGTAGGAGAAACAAGTTGCTATTCCCACGCTGCGCCTGTTCGGGATGCTACAAGCACTTTCGCTATCCAACCTTATCGAAGCCGGTGCATTGCGAAAGGCAGGTAATAGGTTCACGATTGTAAGTACTTTTTGTTTGGGCAGCTCGAACTCATGCACGGAATCTTTTCACGAAGTAGGTACGAACACGATAATGGTAAAGTGATCAGGTAATTATCGTAAATACGAATTGCTCTTAAGTTGTTATTTTGGTTCACAGAAAAAATATTAATAATTTTCTGACAAAAACAAAAAATTAAATTACTCGCATCGTGTACTTCACCCAATAGATTGATCAGAAAATCATTTAACATTTCTTTTTATCTACACAAGCATCGGTGTCAAAATAATATTCCAACGACTATGGAAAATTATGTCGAATCTTTCTCGTTCTTGTATCAATGATCGTCTTGGAGAAAATCTTTTTCAACTTCCCGCTTTGAGGTACGTTGAAAAATGGGAATAAAAAACAATTCCGTTCGTTTTGTACTCAGTCTTCTCGTAACCGTCGTAATGTCACAGTCTTTCGCTACGGTGCACCTGAATATTGCGGCTCTACGCTTCCAGCACCTGTTCCCACCTTGACACCTGATGGAGCCTTCTCGTACTCGCTTGTCCGTAGGGGTTCGAAAGCACATCGCTTGTCCACGCAATGCAGTCGATGCCGGCGATCGGCGCGCCAATGACGGCCGATGCGTTACGCATAATGCAAGACAAATTTTGCAATTGCGTCTGTAGTTTCAATATGACCATTCATTTATTTACTTGCATTACATACATTACATTCTAACGTTATTTTCAACCGTATGTCTAAATAATGGATTTGTGAACGTTTTTTTAACCGTTTTATGTTATAACGGATTTTCGAGCCTCATTATGATTCTACATTCGTTAGAAATGTATAATTTAACTCAATCATAAAACATGAGCCAATTAAATTATTTTAATCTAAAATATCATTTATTATTACAAACATTTTCGATCTGTACATGAGATCATTATAAATATTAGAACAGCTGGTAATAAAAGTGGTACAAAATTTACAATCGCAAACAGGTCGGAAAATTTATTTATAATTATACATAATTTTGGATTAGCATTAAAGTAATTTAATTAACTCGTAACTCCTTGTTCTGATTAATTTTTAAACATATGAGCCATTATTTTTCATTTCATTGTTTTATAATTTAATTAATTTAGATAGATAATTTTAATAGTAAGTATTTAATCGTAATAAAAATTGCTTCTATTGCGCCAAGAGATTGACAACCATACATACATGGCCGCATTCTCATCGATATACTTTTTCCTATATTATAAAACCGGCCAACATATTCATCAACGATATTTCAACGTGAACATCAAGTCGAAGCAAGGATTTTCTAAAAGAAAAATAAGACTGCCTTTATTTCATATAAGTTAATGTTGAGAAACAGATCATACAGATAATTATAATAGATGAAGAATTGTTTTATCTAGGTAAATCTAGGGCTACTTTATGACTACAATTTTTTATCAAGTCCACCATTGTTAGCATGAACTATAAATTGTATAAATATAAACAATATCAGTGATTAATAAAATATTCTTCGTTTCTAGTAGTCGCCTTTAATAAATCCGACATATTTTTACGTGGAGCCTAAAATATAAAATAATAATATTACGTTTATATACGCGCGTATAAATAAAAATAGTATCATTATTAATGACAAACAAAAAAAAAAGAAATCGCATTTTAAATTAATTAACGATAATTAATGTTAATTAATGAATTAATAATAAGCGCTCACCACCAATGCATTCTGGACTTTTACAAGGTGATTTAGTTGCTATGTCGTGAATTGCGTAACAATTTACGTCACACTTGTAGCGTAAGACAGGATTGCCGCATCCAGAGCAATCGGGCTGCACGCTTGGAAACTGCGATTATTACATCATCTTTTAATATATAAAAGAATATTTCTAACTCTCGATACGGTATGTCTACCTGTGCGCCAGTTTGTTGAATACAAAGCCACTGATTGTACGCGCAACCACCTGTGGCTCCGAATCCTACTCCGTATGTAATTTGCGGTACTAACGAGATTTGAGGTACTATAGGAAGCGATGGTATTGATCCAGGGTAACAGGGGGGACTACCAGGAGGACAAGGACCTCCCGGTGCTGTAAATCGGAAATGAGGCAAATGCCAACTTTATTAAAATGTTCTTTATCCATTAAATTGCATTTCAGGAAAATGATGTGTCATTAGATTCTGTATTAATAAATAGAGGCTTTGACTCACGACAGCAGGCTCCTGGAGGAAAACCCCACCCAGTACCATTTCCAAAAATATTGATTCCAGTAACATTACCACCGCCGCCCCCGAAAGGATTAATGACATTATTAATGCCGATGTTCGTCGTTATGTTAGTAGTCCTTAATCCGGCACCGGATGGACCGCAGTTTCCCGATTCGCATTCCGCCTCGTATTCCGTAATGATCTGATGTCTGTGCCTGGTTCTTTTCGTGCAGTAGCCGCATTTTTTTTCGCAATCGAGATCCAAGTGATGTTCGCACTTTTTTAGACACGTTTCCAGACAATGAATGGAATCTGTAGAATTTATCGTTTACAATAGTAAGGCACAATTTTCTTGTAACACGAACAAAACAAACAGAACGAGGATAATACGGTGTATAATTAAACATAATTAACTGTATAACAATAAAAGTCCATCACGGATATATTTATATCGCGTTTATATTTATCCATCGTACTTGAAAGTCGCGCTAACGATCAACCGTGTTGCGTAACTGCGTTACGTTATAAAAGATCCAGTAATTTTAATTTAATGCAACGGTTTATCTTTCTAAGTGATCGTGCAACAGCTGCAGTTGCATAACATGTCTGAACGGAGCGCTTCCGAGCGACACGCGAATTCCCGTGTTTATCTCAATTGTTATAGCGATTGATGATCTACCAGTTTCCGGCCCGTCTCCGTGGTTCGTGTGATGACCGTGTCTCTTTGGCCTCATTAAACACTTTACGTATTTTTTGTAGTCCGGATTTCGGCATTCATCGTACACCTTCTGCTGATCCTCGGTGATCGGTGCCTCGGTGGCTCCGCCGACTTCGGCATTTCTTTCAGCGTGCACTAACAGCGTGCTCAAACCGACGAGAAGATACACGACGAGCAAATGCGTCACTTCCATAGCGCCGAGTTCTCTGAACGGAGTAATCGGGCGGGATGAGCGACAACCCTTTATACCTTAAGCCGCTTACCCGGGGCTGCGGGGTTAATGACCATTACCGACATTTGCGCTGTCAAAGTCTTAGTTGGAAATGTTTGCACCGCACGCCCTCGTAAAGATACGCACGTCGGCTAATATATTAACGCGTAAATTGTTATCTGCCTCTTGGCAACGGAGTGCAACGTTAAATTTGCACTGCTTATCGCGAACACCGGCCGCTGCGAGGCTGTCGTCCGCTATCCTCTTCGAAAGCTGCGGCGCGGCGCGGCGTAACGAAGGCAGGGGTTGCAAACTGCTAAAACACACTTTCGTAATGATAATATTGGCGCCATCCGCAGACATGATATTCACACGGTGCAATCGTTAGGTATATATAATTGAACAAACATTGGGTACGGTCAGTGTGATGCTACAGATGCTTTGAAGTATTTTTTAATTGGTCAGGTTGTAAAACTCTTTCTTCTAATTGGTCCATCAAACGCTTCAAAGCATTTGTAGCGGGACTTTGATCACAGTCATTGGCAATACAAAGAAATAAATAAAAGACGGAAGGATTTTTATACCTTATATCGGTGCGTTTGAAATAAATTAGTGTTCAACGCATCTTTATTTCTAGTTGTTCGCGTTAAGACATCTTGACTTGCACCTTTCTTCACCTCATAATGTTTCTCGAGCGTTATCTCATAACTCGTTTGTTCCGCAAACACATTTATTCAAAACGTGTCATTACACCCCGCATGTGTGCACTACCGCGCGAAATTTTTTTATGCGCGCTTAAAGAAATTATGTTGGTTAATCGTGATTTGATATAACAGAATTGCTCGCAGAATGTTCGCTTTGTTACGATCGAACGAAATTAAATACTTCTGTAAATATACACCACCTTAATTAGAATTTTGAATCTATATATAATATTTCAAAAATAAATAGTCCATCTCCTAGTTGCAAATATCGAGCGATGAAATGACTACTTCGAATAGAGTTCAGTGACTTTTGCTCTTATCATAATCTTCTGGAAATTATAGAGCAGGAAATCGTTTTTATTTACATTACTCATCGATAAAGTCGCGCGCGAATAAATACGCTTTTGGAATTTTAATTTATCCTTGCATTCTTGGGAACGAACTGTTATTTGAACAGCCTGATTGCAGCTGAAAATTGCTTTATCAATTTTATTCTTTTTATGTACTCCATTTTTTCGGTCTGATTCGACACTTTAGTACAGTTATTTACTGTACTTGTATTCGTGGCGATCATTGTGAACCACTTTAATAGGTCATACGATTATAAAATCTTTCACGCTCGTATCCACGTACGTGATTTATTGCGATTTATAAGGTCTCTTCCGGTCATGGAAGTCTCCATTCAAGGGAGAGTACCGCTACCAGTTACATGTACAAAGCTGTTGACGAAAGGCTCATTAAAGGGTGGCGACAAAGTAAGAATTAGTTCACTCAATCTCTGATACGTCGATCGTTTCTCCGATTTTTATTATTATTAAATGATATTAATTTTGATCCAAGCAAAGCACAAATCAAAATGATATCAAAATGACTCCAAAATGATTATTAATCAACAGTCAGTATAATAATAATTTTAATGTCTTGGATTAATAATTTTGACGTTATCGTGATTTATTGTTCTGCTTGAGAGACGACGTTTCAAGTACTATGTCATTCGAGTAACTTTGAAGATTACGGTTTACTAACAATAATATACAATATGGTCTTCAACAAATACATGTCGCAGACATTCCATTTAACAGGGATTTCAACCGAACTAGAGACAGGTGAAGATGCGGATTTTCTAAACGCCCTGTATACGAACGGTTTCCCCGATGGTAGGGGGACAGCGAGTCTCGCTCTCTCTTGAACGTACTGGCTCCATCCGTGTGTTCGAGACGTACAATGGCCGCCGTGTGAGCCGACGTGCTGCGTGCCTCAAGTATTAATCGTCCTCAATTTTCCCGACTTAATTTGCCGGCTGAGAAACGCCCACGAAAAAAAAAATGCGCGACGCCCCGCCGCGATGGTACCATTCGACGAGAGTCCGTGCGACAGCGAACTCCGATGGACGACGCCCGCGTCCTGACGGACCATCATCATCATCATCATCATCATCACCATCATCGCGTGTGTCGTTGACGCTTCTTGACGAAAACACAGTGGTCGGTAGGACGCGACTGATTGGACGCATCACATTGTCGCAGAACAATTGTTAAACTCTCGCGAAGACTCTGACGATCGAAGTGAACGTTTCTACGTTGCGTCCGTTTTCTCCCTTGATATTCAGTGTCGTGAGGTATCATTCGCTAGACTAGCGTATGTGGTGTTGTGTTACGCACATGTTGCTCCGTTTTAGGAAGGTAATTGATACTTCTGTAAAATATCTTTTGGTGTTGGATCTTTAAAGATCGTAAGAATCAAATATATGTAGAAAAGATCTTCTAGGTACTTTATTTTTTTTTTTCGGAGTAAGATAGCATTTTCGAAAATAATCGACTTCCCATATTTTTTACTCCGAAAAAAGGATTTGATAATAGTATCTGTTATTAAATGTTTTGGTGAAATAGTGTCAACTAAATGTTTATTAACAATTACTAAATAATTTAGTTAAATAGAAAAATGGAAACAAATTAGTTCAATAAATTAAATTTTATTCAAGTCTACTATAAATTTAGTTCATTCAAATTAAACATTAATAATTATTACTAAATTTTAATAGCATTAAATAAAATATATCGCAAGTATTATCGTATTTGATATATAGTAATAATTATTATTGTTTAATTTGAATGAACTAAATCTAATAGACTTGAATAAAATTTGATTTATTGAACTAATTTGTTTACTATTTTTCAAATGTGATAATACTTGCGATATATTTTAGCAAATTGTGATTGTGAGAAAAAAGATATTTGATAACTGTTGTAAAATTTTTGTTATTACTTATATTTATTACTTATTTTTTTATAACTTTAAATATCGAATATTGAAATGAAATATCATCCTTCACCTAAAATGTGAAAATAACATTCGATATCATTATTTTCCTGTATTCAACATAAGCTTGAAAATGAGTTTCTAAAACTTAAAGTAATACATTTGTGCTATAAATAATGTAAACAATTTCTGTTTTCTTTAAAATTATATTATATTATTATGCCTTATTATTCTGAATAAATTATTTTTAGTATTAGAAACTGTTACATATCACAATTTGAATATTTATATATGTTATTATATCGAATTATACCATAAAATCATTAAGGTATAATCGTCTATTTTAGATACACTCGAAAAATGTGATTTTGAATGATAAATTATTTTTAGTATCAGAAATTATCACATATCTAAATTCGAATATCTATATTTATTATTATTATATTGAATGCATAAAATTATTAAGGTATAATCGTCTATTTCAGATACACTCGAAAAATGATTTAAAAACGTTTGTCGTGGAGATTTCTCCATGAATCAATGCGCATTCGTGTTACTTTATATAATATTTGGATAATTATTTTTTTTCTCTAGATTTTATATATTATATAATAATTAAATAAACTGAATTACGTAGTAATATTTGCCGAAAATTAAATTAAGTGATTTAACAATATTTATTAAATTATAGTTTAAATAGTGATATATATTAAATATTTGATAAATTATCAAATTACTTAATTGATTCAATTATGGACAAAAGTTATTAAATAACTAAATTAATAAATATTTAATAGCTATTATCAAATATAATAATAGTAATATCCAATATTTAGCAAATATCCATAACTAAATGTATTTGGTAACTGTGACAAATCAATTTTTCAATGTAAAATGTAAAAAATTTTATGATCGAAATCCAAATAGTATTAGTTAATAATTTCAAAAATATGACTCTCTCTCTCTCTCTCTGCATAAAGATTTGGTCAAAATCGTTTGTGTATAGAAAATCCAATCAGATTAATATATATATTATAAATTGATATTATCATGTCTTATTTATTGTTAAGCGCTTTTTTTCAGAGGTTTTTAAGCTTTTAAAAATTTACGAACATATTCAATAGCACAGTTCTACGAAAAAAAGTGAAATCACTGAATTATATGCGCAATAAAAGCATATGCTCATCATTACATATACGCTTTAACGTTATACTTTTCCTGGTATGGTTAAATAATAATATTCCGATAGATAGAAAGAGAGAGAGAGAGAGAGATAGCTTACACTTACGTTGCTGTAAAAGAATGCTATAATTAGCTAATCGGTTAAAGTCCTTTTGTAAGCTTAAGTTATTGTTTGTAACTTACAGTCGCTATTCAAAGTTTCATTATCACGAGAATATAACTCGTTTTAAAAACAAATTCAAACTCATGCGGGTATCCGAATAAATTTCATTGTTTGAAAGTAATATGCCTTCAAAGTTGTTTCGAATTATTCGACCGTGGAAAGAACGCTTTCGTTTTTTTTTTGTGGAGAAATCTTATCTCTCGCTTGAGTACAGGGAATACGTAGGAAAAGTGTTGCAAATTGAGAAAGTCGCTTATATTTGCGCAATAAAAACTCGTTGATCTATAATTACAACGTTAGCAATCTAAGCGGAATGGTATTCAGAGCAACTGTCAGGAATTTTACTGATATAATATATAGTTAATTAAAATCAATGACTGTTATCTTTTTATAATTGTAAATTTATTTAAAAAATGGACCTGAATACGAAACTTTTCATATAATTAAATAAATCATTGATCATAGATACTTTTTATTTATATTTAGTTTAGAAAATTATAAGGGAAATATATTGAAAAGCAATATAAACTATTAATAACTGTTATTTAGATACATAAAATTTAAACACATTAATTATATCATCGAATTGTATCATTCATTTATAGGCAGAAAATAGGAACTAGCAACCATGCTGGAGCTATGACAGTCGTGTATTCGGCTGTTCGAAAATCGGCTATACTGATGTATTTATGATTCGGCCGCGGATCTCGAAGAAGAAACGATGGCAGCGGAGAAAGAGGAGATTCCAGTGGGGTCTCCTTGGTACGGCAAGGTTTTCGAGTGTTGGAGGAATCGGAATCGAGTCAGTCCCGGCAGAATCGAGTTGCCCGATTGCGATTTTTTTATCGTGGCACCGCGACGCACGCTTCGCGTTCTGAAGCCGACCCTGAAGAGCGGCTGGTATTATGAGACGGCGGTTGACCGGCCGGAATCGGTCAACGACAATTTCTTTAATCGGTGGACCAGGAGACCGCATCCGTCCGGAAATTGCAGGTGTTCTTTTCGCCAGTCCGCCAGCGCGTTGAGCACCACCGAAGAGCAAATAATATCCGCGGAATTAAATCACATCCGAACAAGTCTCTGCGAGGCCGAGAAGAACGCGCGTGGAATCGAGGAATTGGAGCAAAGGGTCTCCGTGAATTTGCAAAAGTTAGTACGGGACAATTCAGAGCTTTCTGATTGCGCAAACGAAACGACGATATCTTCGACATTAATGATTGATCGCCAACCGTTCGAACAGAACGCCAAACAACAAATTGTCAAGGATTTAGAAAGGTAAGTCCATTATATAAACTCAACTGATACAAATTTGGATAAAAATGAAACGTGAAAAATTTTTCTTAATTATCGTTAAACATTTTTAATAATAAAATAATAATATATCCTAAATACTCTATGCCTGTTATTTTTCTTCGTCTTTTTCTAGATTACAGTATAACTTCATTTATTTGAACATGTCATCAGGGGACAAGACTGTTCCGATAACCGAATGATTCAAATAATAAAGGCTCACTAGCTCTTCTTTCAATCAATTCTTT